ATCTATTTTGGCCTGTCTATTGATGTCATCTTTGGCTCATTAGGCAGTCACGTTAGTGAGGCTTTGTGTAGCTTTTGACATTACAAGTCTCATAGCAAACTCCCTGACCCTCTTGCTCTTAAAAATCTTTTAGCCCCATCTTCTACAATATTCCTGGAGCCTTAGGTTCAGGAATTGTTTTATAGACATATCCACTGGGACTAGGCGCCACAACTCTGCATTTTGATTAGTATTGGTTTTCTGTAGTGGTCTCCATCTGTTGCAAGAGACATGTTTGTTGATAAGGGGTGAGGACTACATTTATCTGTGGGTATAAGGACAAATATTTAGTGTGTAGTTAGGGATTATGTTGGTATAGAAAAATGGTGGTTGGAGATTCTCTTTCAAGACCCATGACTTTAGTAGCTATGGGTAGTTGGCTAGGTTTCCAGTACCAGCAGTGATTTCCCTTTTGTTGAGTGGGTCTTAAGTGCAATTAGAGAGCTATTGGTTAAGGTATGTGTGCCATTACTGCACACTTAGGGTTCTTTCGCCGTGTTGGCTGTTGCGCTGGTTCACAGCTAGGACTATTGGCTATCTCCATGCTTTGGAAGCTTTCAGGGCACCCTCTGCCACCATGAAAACTAGTCCTCAGGGAGGAGGCATTCAGGTCAGTTCCAGCTTAGGGGCATCTGGAGCTTATGCCTAAAGTGCACAGTGTCTTCAACAGTAGAGACTGTCCTCCCACTACTTGGGAGAGGGCAACCAAGGGCAATATCATTAATCAATAATGCTTTGGGTGTCTTGGACAGCCCAGACCAACAATTCAAGAGAAAGTTACTTATGCCTCATGTTGTGGTTGTTAGGTGGTCTTTAGCTCTTGGACAGAATATTGTCAACCCAGATGAGAAAATTCATTTAAATTATGTATGTATATTTATACACAGACTTGTATGTATTAGTTTTGTTCTCAGTATGATTCCTTATGACTTTCTCACCCATTTTACCCTCCTACAAGACAGTTTCTTCAGATGTTTTCTTTAACTGCTTATAGATAGCACCACTAAATTAGTTTTTCAGTCTTGAATTCTATAGAAGTGGACTTACTCTTCTCACACCCACCCCCTGATTTTACCCAAGTTTCACTTTAATTTCAGCAACATGGGCATGAATTCTTTTATGTATATGTCTTTGAACAATGTTTCACTCAAATATATTAAACCAAAGATCCTGAAATTTCTTTAATTTTCTGTATCTAGGACATATATACCTTTATTAACCACCAAAAATGTGGAAAACATTTTAGATATTTCATATCTCAAAATATGGCCTTGGCAATGCACCTATCCTTCTGTAACCTTTTTTTTTTTTTTAAATACATGGCTTTTCTGACTTTCTCCAAGCAATTAGGTCACTGTACGTGCCAATACTGTGACCAAATGCCCTTCCTTCTGTTCACTCTGCCTTTACCCCCAGCAACATCCTCTGCCCAAGAGGAGTGAGCAAGTGCCTTGGTGCCTCCTAGAAGCAAGCTTGCTTGGTACCACTGGGGACGTTCAAGGCTGGTGTACAGTGCATTCAGGAGAAAGTAGCCTGGGATGGGCAAGTGGTGGAAAGGAATACTGAATCCCTTGACATGTAAGGAAAACAAAGCTAAAATATCAAGCTCATTTTTCCTCAACAATTAAAATTAGTCTTGAGAAAATGTTCTGCTAGTAATATCCAGGAATGACAATGTTCTTTGTGATCATTACAGTCAGACATCAGGCTTCTGATCTTAACCTGGCATATATGCATATGCACATAAGTGTACATAGGGAGACTTGCTTATCCCTGTGGCTATTAGAAGTATTGTGACTCATAAAACATGAGTCTTTATTTTGACATTTCATTGCACATGGGTGGGGGGGGGCAGGCATTACGTCTTGGATCTTAGCCTTGCATTATAGCTGGGAGTCCATTCACAGCAAAGTCTTTTTTAGCTCTCATGATGCACTTCATCATATAATTGGCCCTGATAATTCTTGTAGATAAGATAAATCCTGGTTATTGGACTGTGATTAGAAAATGCTAGAAAGATGTAGATAGCCCCTAAAAGGATTGTCTGTAATAACCTACAGTATGTACCACTATATAGAAAGGTTATTTTGAAAATAATCCAAAACCACAACCCCCAGATTGTGTAGTTGTCAGAATTTGTCATCTGTACAAGCATTTTGTAATGCATGCATGTTGTATTGAGCAATCCATAGATTTATCTCAGGAATGAGAACATTGCTGTGTGAACCAAATACCCATAGGCCTGGCAGATTGTATCCAGCATCTATCTGCTCTAAAACCTCTCTTCCCTGTTTCTGCTGGATATTTACCTCCTAATCCCTCAGCCATAAACATCCCACTTAGGAATCACAGCCTTTAAACAAGTTTAATGCAGGGGTTGAAATGTAGCTCAGCGCTAGAGCACCAGACTAGCGAAGGCAAGGTCCTGAGTTTCATCCCCAGCACTGCAACAAGACAAAGAACATGCAGAAGTTAAAAGTTGGAGTTCTTTCCTAGAGATCAGTTTTGAAAAGCTGGCACCTGAAAAGACTGGGAAGAGAAAGTTTAAGAAGTTAACACTGGATCTTTATCATTCTTTCCTGTGTTGATCACATTAAAATACAGACTAATTCTTCATGAATCAAAATAACAACTTCTAGTAACAATAGGAGTAAACAAATCTCCCTCTGTACATGCATGTGCACACATTATGGCCAAATCATGGTTATAGTCTGCATGTACACTGACTTACATAACGAAAATATTTGGGTTTAATGTTCTACCCCAACTAACATCAACGATCTATGGCCTTATTTGCTTCATAAGACAATGACCTACCTGCTTAGGTATGTGCACACACACATAAACTAATTTTGCATGCCTCTTTCCCAGCTTCAAGAGCCTGACTATCCATTCTTCCCATTCTTTTAGTCTAAATATTTTATCTTTCTAGAGATGCTGCCCATCCTGAATATGATACCATTATTTTTTAGTTATTAGTGCCCAGGGAAGAACTGAAAATGGATGCCAGATGGCCTGGCCTATGCGCCTTCTCCACATGCACAAACAGGCTTTAGCTCAAGGCCTTGACAGTGACACACAGATGCAACCAAAGAGAGCCAACAGTAAGCATCTCCGTCACACAGGAAGGTAAAATTAGGTGAGGTTGAATATTTATACAAGGAAAACCTGTACAACTCAGTAGCCCTGTCTCCATTGTTAACTCTTTTAGCAGAATATCCCAGGAATGGGCCTCCTATAACTCACAAAAAGAAAGCAGCCCACCTTTGCTACGGTGACCCTAGTCTCAGAATATAAACACTGATATTCCAGCCCTGAAAAAGAGACCTGCACCTCTGGTGTGCCCTTGACTGGCCTCATGTGAACGGCATCTTCTTATATCTACGTGGCCACTGGGACACAGTGTGGAGGCTCCATTTGCAGATAGCAAGAGTTGGCCAAGTTACACTAGTCCACATGTCTTGTTCTAGTCCTTTCACTTCCAAAGATGCTTTAAAGATCTGCCATACACATATTTGGGCTAACTGGAAACAGCCACCAGTCTATCTGTTGGTCAGTCCACTAAGTTACAAAAACACAGGACATCATAGCAGGGACAGGTCAGGCTACTCACTTCTATTAAAATGTTCAGTGCAATTAACTTCTCAATTAAAGAGGATACTTTTCTTTCCTGCTTTTTAATCCCCAGGCTTATGGGGCAGAAAACTATTCCGGCCTTTGAGCTGCACTCTTGAAAACAGGCAGAGAGGATATGAACACTGATCGAATTTCAACAGTCTTAAGGCAGGAGGACTGAATAGAAAACATCTTTTCAGTTTTTCCTAGGTACCATGGATTTAAAGAAACTGAGAGTTTATAATGAGTTTTGCAGAAACCTCTCGGCAGCAGGTTTGCTAAAATGGACTGTGTTTCGTTACTTTTAGTAGTTGGAGGCAATTAGTCATGACCATGAGACAAAGGGATTCGGATGTACAGGTAACTAGTTACTGTCTACAGGGCTGGTGGATGTTAGAAAGGAGTAGCTCAACGTGAAGGTTCAAGTATCTAGATCACTTTTCTTCAATGATTAAAAACAACTCAAAACTCACCCTCTACTACTACCAAACCAATTGCTAAGGCGGCAGCTTAGAATTAAACCAAAGAGCAAGAAGTTGGGCAATTTAACATCAGAAATTGCTCAACACACCCATTGAACATACCCCAGTTGTTCTCTAACATGGAGTCTGTAGGTTACCGTAGCCAGGAAGACATTTTCTGAGCGAGCGCAGGGCCATCGGTGAGTTGTGGTCACAGCAGGAGCGTGGTTTGCTTCTACTGTGCTCTGTAGCCCACATCTAAGCATCTATTTTCTAGACACACACTCTAACATCACCATCCATACTTTAAAAAACTCCCAGAGGAAGTAAAGGGTAGTTCTTAGCAGATCTTAAAGACGTATGTATTACAGACTTCACAGACACAGAGGTTATCTGGCTACGTCTTTTTTCCTTGTAGAGTGCCGGCTTACTGCTAGCATTTAGATATAGAACTGTCAGGGCGGGTCTCTGTGCCACTGATCCTCTGGGCTGCCTAATACCCTACCTAGGGGAAAGGAGGAGGGCTGGTTTTACTCACCAGAAGCTTGCTTGACAGGGTGAGGCTAAGCAGCTCTGCAGAGGCCTACAGTGAACAGCTTCTTAAACAGACCACAATTAATCCAGGGCCAGTTTTTGAAGGACAGATCCAGAAAGTACTATCACTGCCCATTTGCGCTATAGGGACCGACATTTCTGACTGCACACAAATAGGAAAAGGTTGTGTGTGTGCTTTTAAATCTGCCTACTTTGGGACAGTGCATGTGACCTATGAAGTGAGGAGGTGAAGATGTGTTGCGATGCACTTTATGATCAGAGCATTCTCAGAGAGGCTTAGGTAATTTCAAGGGAAGCAAAACTCAGAATGAAGAATACTGTAGTACAAGATTATGGCCGAAAATACTGTATTTTTAACCAGTAAGATCATCGGGGCATTATTATACAACATTAGGTGTTTTTTTTTTTTTTTTTGAAAAACTAGTTCCCATCCCCAAACAATAGACAATACATGCATTTGAATGACATTTTAAGAACAGTAAATATGATTTTTTTTTAAATACTGCAAGTTAAAAATGTTTTTGACAAAACTCCCTAAATACACAGATGTAGTCAGGGCTTCCAACACGAGGGTGGATGCAGAGTCTGGCAAGAGGCTTCGGTTAGAGTCCTTTGAGGAAATCTGCCAGAAACATGTTTCAGTGAAAGTGACCCGGACAAACTTACATAGTGTTTTTCCACTTTCTTTTCTAACCCACAAACAGCTTGCTGAATGATCTTCCTCCCTGTTTTCTTCCTGACTACCAAAGCTTCTATGAAAGCCAGAATTCCTTTATCTAAGTAAGATCAGATTTTACCTAGTGGCTGTTTATTTTTTTTTTTTACATGTAAATGTTATTCATCATTGGGTTCAAATTTTATGGAGTGGATGGAGTCTCCATGGTAGATATGGGAGGTGAGAGGACCTATCTGAGCACCTACTGTGCATCAGGTGTGCATGCATCCTCTGGATAGACAATTCTAGAGGCAAGAATGCTATTGCAGGGTGGCAGAAGCAGGGAGATGGCAGGAAACAGTACTACTGCAGGAAAAACAGAGTGTAGACGTTCAGCAAGTTATCTGTGGAATGGCAGGTGTCTGGCTCCCCAAATCTTGGCCTAATCACACCGAACCAAGCCATTTGCTTCTCCTAATTGTTGAGAACCAAAATAGAATCCCAAAGAAACAAGTGCCAGGACATCTAGTAACGCTGCATATGCTGGAAGTGTGTGGAGGGAGACAGATAAACTCACATTATTAGCTTCCATTTTTGTATGCATTTCTAACCAAAGATTTCTCTTTGGAATAAAATATTAATGTATGCCCAGGTACACCTTATTTGTATCAGTTGAGATGCTGTTAATTACCACTTGAGTGGCTTGAAACCCTTACTTAATTTTAAGAAGAGCAGCAATATACATTACAATATTTGGGTACACTTTATTTTTATATGGGTTAACATTCTGCTATATTTCACTTCATTCGTTCTTTTGAGAAACTGAAAACAAAGGGCGCTGGGGGCCATCTGAGGGGATCTGAGTCTTGCGGTGTCTTGTTATGCAGCCCTTTCTTCCCATTATTATTTTTATTTTTTGCAAATAATCAAGTCACTTTGACCCAAATCCAGCATAAACAGCTTTTCACCAATTCCTATGTAAGACAACTAAAATTTACAATCATGTGGCAGTATAAATTTTTAAATTACAACTCGTACAACTTGACAATCAATATAAGTCTGAAGTACAAAAAGTAAATTGCCCTTTGGCTGAATTACCTTTTAAAACGATTAGGCCTGCTAATGTAATCTAAACAAAACAAAACAAAACCAAACCCCCAAGCCCCCAAGTTCCAGGTGTTCTTTAAATATCGCTGTGGATGTCACCTGCCAGTGAACACCATAGGCAGGTTCCTAAGAAGAGTTTCTCAGCTACGCAGGACACTCAACAGAGCTCTTCCTAAGGAAACGATAAGGAAAACCCAACAGGCTCTGTAAGACTTACTGACTTTTCATGGGCGTGTGTTTTCCCTTTGTTTCAGACACGAGGCACAGACTTCTGAATTTAAGCTCTGTAAGGCATAGTATAAACCTCCAATTTACAAATAGGAATTCTCTGTGGGTGGGAACTGCCGCATGACACACAAAAGGGAGACATCATCTGTAAACGGCACACTCATGTGCTGAGTGACTCGTGAGATGGCTGCTTGCCTTGGTATGCTGAGGAAAGGTTTCTGTGGTCTGTGTTTTGCTTCTGAATAAGACATGCCCAAGTCACCATAACGCTCATCACAAGCCTCCATTACCTAGAGCATCGACAACAGGAACGCTTGCAATCACAATAGAAGAGAAAGCATGAGTAAACTTTGTTTTTGTACAAAACTGAGAAGCCCTTCCCGCCCCTCACCCCTTCAATAAAACCCCAAACGAGAAACAACAACAAAATTAGTTTTAGCTTCATTGACTAGTGTGGATACAATTAGGTGTCCAGGTATCACTGCAGCTAGGGTGATCAATGTTTTCCTTTCTCAAAAGAAGGGATCCTATCATGCACCCCAGGATGCGCAGTGAGGCCACAGACTTCAACTCTGCACAGCAAGCTGCATCCTCAATTCATAAAGACAGTGTGGCCACCTCTCCCTGCTTTACTCAGCAGCTCTGAGCTTGGTATCAGTATGGCTCAACTACATCCACTACAGCTCTATTAGACAGAACAGCTCGGTTTCTTAGGACTGTTAAACACTCATGATCCTGGGATGAGGCTTTCTCTATACACTGCAGGCCATCAAATGTTACTTTTTTTCTTCTTTTTTTGTCTTTTTGTGTTTTTTTTTGTTTTTTGTTTTTTGTTTTTGTTTTGTTTTTGTTTTTTTGCTGCACCAAATTTAAGGTTGCCCTTTCAGGCAAGCAGTGGTCTCTAGCTGATAAAACATCTCCTTAGTGGATCACAATAGCTTCTAAAACTGCCTTTCTAATAAAGGCCACCAGAGAGGTAATGCTAAACTGTGCATTTGCCAAATAAGAATATGAATCGTATAAAAGCTCATATTCCAACCCCAGGTCAAATGGCAAAAGGTCTACAAAGTTGGTCTCTGTGTTTGTATAAAAGCTCTGACGGATGTTGTGTTCGCTATGAAATTACCTTTGGGTCTTAGGTCAGCACACCTCTACTCAGGAATGTGCAAATGATTTAGACAGCACGATGCTAGTACCGCTCTGTACGATAGTAAGGGTTTTTTTTTTTTCTTCTTTTCTAAATGGAAAAAAATATCCCTAGTCAGAAATAAACTGACAAATTTACATTCTCCTCTCTTAAAAAAGTAAATAAAATAACATTATCAAATGTGAATTAGCTATAAGACATACAATACAATTACATAGATACATATCAATACAGCACATTCAATCTGCCAAAAAATTAATGATTACAAAGCCAGTATGGATGTTGCAATATCAAGAGAGATGTATGTACAACAATCAGAGCATTCATAATTGCACTATACCTACAGGAAGTCTGTTAATTAAATTACAGGGGCTTTCTAGAGCAAGGGATAAAAAAGCTGGGAGAGCAACGCATGAGAACACGTCATCACAAGTCAGCAATTTCAGTGCTCATACAGTGAGCTGTTCACTCTCCCAGCTTTGTTATTTAAGAAAAGTGATTTATATGGAAGTTGAGATTAGTGCCAAGCGCTAATGAGACCAGCATGGAGGTCTAACTTCCCAGCAGCCTTAGAGTGCCCACCATCTACTTAAATCACATACTGATGCAGGCTGCTCGACAGGCTCACTCATATGTGTTCGGCACAGTTTGCATCTGCTGACAAATTGCACATGGAGAAATTCCAAACATCTCTCCTAGTATGATCACCACAAGAATACATGCTTGACAGAACACTGACTGGTGACTTTTGAATAAGCCCACAAATCTTCCTTAAGTTCAAGCGACCAATTCAAGATCCTGATGGTGGTAAAGACAGCTCACTATTCCCCAACCCCCCCCAAATCAAAGGTTTCAGGATAATACTATCAACCAGTGTTCTTGGCAGATTTACTCAAACTTAAAGAACATAAAGAGTTAATAAAACTAGCGCCAGTAAAGAGATGCAAGCAGCTCTCCTGACAAACCACACAGGGTACTTTTCTACACTGCTCCTCTGGACACTGGCACTGACCTTAAGGGCAAAGAAAAGAACGGACTGTGAGAAGCAGCAGCTCGGTTAGCAACTGTTTGGCAATGTGTGTTTCCGGTTCACACCCAGCTGTCGTCTCTCTCACTGTCTTAATGCTGACATTTTGAGACGCTGGCTTTTACTGTTTAAATTCTTAATTTATTTTGCCTTATAAAAATCTGGCTTTGGCAACACATACCCATAATAAAAATTATTTTAAAATTATGGCCCAAACACAAAAGAGGATCAGAGTGAAGGAAAGCTGGAAACAAACAGAAAATGAAGAAGCTACAAGAGCGCTCTGGCAGCAGCTGCTGGGGAATGTAGTGTCTGTTGGCATATCATTTGGCATCTGTGGTTTAAAGAGGGCGGAAAACCTAAAGAGAAATAAACGGAAGCAAGGAAGAGCGGAAGGACGTGGCACACGGACCGGAGAAGCAAGGACTTCTTCACAGCCTGTGCCCTCACACCCTGACTTCCATGCATTTCTCTGAACAATCCGGCTGTGGCTGAAGGTCTGCACCCAGAAGATTTGACTCTTAACCATCAATGGGCACCCACTGTTCTAGTCCAAGTGAGACAAGACAATATATATATCAAACATATATATATATGTATGTATGTATGTATGTATGTATGTATGTATGTATGTATGTATGTATTGGAAAAGAAATACTAGATGTGATGTGCATCCAGAGATACATTTAAAACCATAGTGGTAATACATATGCGCCTGCCTTCAGCAGAGCCACTGGTAAAGGAAGCTGATGGAAGGCAGCTTCAACTAAATGACACCGTCCCGACCGCGTCACTCAGAGAAACTGCCCAAGGATGGAGTTAGGGTAAAGGCCATGGTAGTGAGGGAAAATGAAGTCAGCAGGGAGATAAGGAGCAGGAAGAAGAAAATTAGCTTGGTTTTGGTCAACAGGAAAGGGGAGGAGGAAGAAGGAAAGGGGGAGAGAGAGAGGGAGAGAGGGAGAGAGGGAGAGAGGGAGAGAGGGAGAGAGGGAGAGAGGGAGAGAGAGAGAGAGAGAGAGAGAGAAAACACAAAGGACAGGAGTGCTTTTATACTGTGAGTGAATGACTGAAAATTTAAAATACGAGTCAAGGTTTGCCTAAAAAAAGGAGGAAATGTGCTGGGACTGTACTTCAGCATCCTGTTTCCTCTGAATAGTTTAAATAAAATCATAATATTTACTACAGCTCTGTGGACGCGCTCACAGAGTCCAGGACGGCAATAAATTAGTATTATGCAAATTGTTTTCCACAGAAATACAGTCCCTCTTGTTTATCTTCAACAGCCCACAGGGAAGGGAAGAATGGTTTCTGGGAGGCACGGTTAGACCAGATTGTACTCCTTCAGGTTCAGCTGCAGGATGGTGTCCTTGACGGCAGCAAAGACGAAGCGGATGTTCTCGGTATCTGTGGCGCACGTGAAATGGGAGTAGATGATTTTGTCACTGTCGGGGTTCAGGTCCACGAACATCTTCAGAATGAATTCTCGAGCTGCCTGGGCATCTCTCTGGGGTCCTGTTGGCCAAGAGAGAGGAGAAGCAAAATGTGTTATGTGACCCACATTTGCTTATCTGCTCAACAAGCATGTTTTGTCCCATGTCCTATGAGGACTGATCTGTATTCCAGAGCTATGCTAAATTCACTGTGTGATGATATGTACTAGTTTGCATTGTCTTATGCTTGTAAGGTTGTTTCTCATGCCTCATACATTGTCACATACATAGTCATACACAGTTTTATTTGTCAAATTTATTTGAATAAATTTGTCATGGTTGCTTTTAAATGTCAAGTTGCCACAATCTGGAATCACCTGAGAAGGGAATCTCAGTTGAGGGATTATCTAAATCAGGTTATTCTGTGAGTATGTCTGTGGAGGATTGGCTAACTGATGTAAGAAGATCCAGTCCATTGTTAGGGGCACTATTACCTAGGCAGGGGGTCCTAAACTACACACACACAATGAGAGAACGCTAGATGCAGCAAGCAAGGATGCATTTCTCCTCTTTGCTCTTGACCATGGATGCCATGTGACTATCTGCTTGAGCTCCTGCTTTGATTTCCCCCCAAAGATGAACTGTAACCTGTGACTTATAAGCCAAACAGCCAGTTTTCTCCCTAAAGTTACCTTTTGTTGAGATATTTTTCAAAGCAACAGAAATGAAACTAAAACACTTTTTGTCTTAGTTTGCTTTCTATTGTGGTGATAAACATCAAGACCACAGCAACCCGGCGAGGAAAGGATGTGTTTCAGCTTATAGTCCATTATGATTGATGGTCAGGAGGCAGGAATGAGGGCAGGAACTGAAGCAGACACCACGGAGGAGTGCTGCTTACGAGCCTATTCCTCATGGCTCACTTACTTCTTTCCTGTACAGCTCAGGGCCCCCTGCCTGGGGGTGTGACTTTCCACAGTGTGCTGGACCTTGTTATCAACCACGATCAAGAAAATGTTCTCCAACCTTGCCTGTAGTCCATTCTGATTGAGGTATTTTCTCAATTAAGGGGCCTTTTAAAAAGATGACCCTAGCATGAGTTAAACTGACAAAAAACTAACCAACACACTTGTATAATAATTCTGTAGCTGATTCTTAGATACAGCCCCAACACAAAAGCAGTAAAAAAAAAAATAACCTGAACCTTATCAAAATTAAAATCCCTTTTGTTATCAAAGTACACTACCAAGTGAAAAACACATGTAATTCATATGTGTGATAAGGATGTAGCACCTAGGATATATAAAGATTATTTAAACTGGACAAAAGGCGTGGATAGTTTTGTAAAGGAAGGTATACATACAACCAGTGAGCATACAAGAAATTTAACTCTAATACTCATTTAGGGAAATGTCAAGGAAAATAATGAGGTAGTCTTCCCATCTGCTAGCTAGCCTGGTGATCACTTAAAAAGGGAAAGCATAAGTCTTGGCAACAGGGCAAGTGTGCACCTATTGGCCACTGGTACATGAGCAATGGTATACCCCGTATGGAAAACAGCTCAGTGGCTCCCCAAGAAGCTAAGATACATTCCCATACAACCTAGCAATTCGTCTAGTAGGAGAGCATATTCCAAATGAATTGAAAGGAGGACCTTTTGTAGGTGAATGGACAGTGCCATTCCTCATAGTACTAATAGGTAGAAGTGACTCAACTGAATTGGATAAGCCAAAGGTAACATAAGAAATGAAAGTAATAATCAAAGGTATACCAAGTATGAACCTTGAAAATACTATTCTTAAATCAACATGCTGGACATAGACAAATACTGTGCGACTTGACTTACAGCCTGTATCTTATATAGAGACAGAAAGAGGAGTAAAGGGACAGCGTTCGAATGAGGGGGTGGGTGGGCAATGAGGTGTTATTGCTTAGAGTGGTGGGAACATAGGTAATAGCTGCAGGGTGTCATAAACGTTAATGTCATGAGACTACATAAATTATAATTTAAATGTTCTGTATGATATTTTAGTGTGACATACCCTGAGCCATTACTAATTGTGTGCAGGACCAATCACAGTCACATCTCAATCAATCAGTTTAACACTTAAGCAGATTCTAGCCAGTGTGAGTTTAAAACTTCTAAATTACTAACATCAAAATACCATCATCTTTCAGGTACTGAACACTGTGCCACTGCATGCCTGTTTTTCTCCAAAGTTCCAAGCTAGTTCCACACAGTAAAAGGGTATGTCGTTTCCTCCCTCCAGGGCAGGACCTTCTGGGATTCACAATGTGGGACTGTTCTATGCAAAGGAACACTGCTGAGGCCTAACTACCAATGCTAAGGACCTTCATTCTGAGTCTCAGGCAGACAGCCTGAGAACTTTCAGATGAATCCTATTACAGATTTGGGCTCATACCTACATCTCACACTGTTGGAAGCTGCAAGAAAGAGCTATGAAGCCCGGAGTTTTCTCGTTTGTACAGTATTAACAAGGGTGCTTTGAGTCAGTAACTAAGGCTGTTAACATGAAAAACAAAAATATGTCATTATTAAGATGTTACATACATGAAATAGTCCTTAGCAATGTACTATGTACGTTAACTGACTGGGTCTACAGCAGCATAAAACACTAAAAATGGAGACTAACAGACTGGCAGGATGTAAGAAGCCTGCCATTTTTCTAACTATTATTCTTATTTTGCTTGGGAAGGAAAAGACTCCAACTTTTTTCTTGTGTTTAGTCTACAGAACACCAGAAATAGATTTGGGTTCACCGAAGTGCACTCGCAGTCTGCTGTTTTAAGCATATATTATGCTATTTGAACACATCTCAGCAGGCCCAGAATTCCAAGGTCTCTAGGAACAGTTCTGCAGTTCAAATCTATGTGGACATAGTAATTTCTCTTCCTGAAGAGAAACAGAGATGACATTCATCTGATTATGCCCTCGAAAGGAAGACATCTACATCTGTGAAACTAGAACTACTCTAAATAAGCTTATTATCAAATTATCACAATAGTGTACTGAAGAGCTTTCTCAGTCTTAGTTCGTCTTCCAAGGCCTTTGGATCTCATAAAATGACAACTTTATTTTCCCAAGAACAACAAAATCATCACCTTTGTTAACTTAGCTGTGGCCATATTTCCTTTGGACATTGTATGTCCATTGTAGAAAGTCAATAGTTAAAATCATCTTCAAATTCCAAAACATTACAAAACCTTCCTTCCTTTGGAAGGAAACCATTTGTAGTTTTAAGGGTTCAGGACAATACTATAGAAAGCGGCAGTCCTGCAAAGACCTCCCCAGAAAACCTTGAAATGCTGTGTAGTCAGCCATCATGTGGCTGTAGGCAATCAGGTAGGCTCAGGGGCTTCTACTCTGTGGCTGCACAATGCTATTTGTCTGTATCGAAGCAGGAAAACAGGGGGCCCACAGTGCTATTGCTGTGTGTGGTGTGGTCATTTTCTATCCACTGTCCACTGACTCTCATCAACTCTGGAGAGAAATGAAGTCTACCTTCTGGGTGTAAGAACAAGTATGCATGTACGAGGCAGCTGGTTCTGGCTCCTGTTCTCACACCAGGCGCTCACCGGACTGGCCTGCTACTGAGGGGGAGTGGGTACACCACATATAGTAACTTCCTTCCACCATTTCCTAAGTAACACTGAAGCATTTACTATTTGTTCCTGGGTTAGTGAGAAAATAGAAGGAGCAAAGAGAAACTGCTGTCCAGGTTAAGACAGCATTTGTTCTTTTAACAGCCAGGCAAACAGGATAATGTGCCTGGAGAGACATGAACCTGCTGCTGCACACCCAATGGTACACATGCATTTGAGATGCAAACTGCAGGTCTTACGCATGCCACATTCCCTTCCTTGAGCCAGCACTACACCTCACACATACAGAGCAAAAGGGCACTTAAATCTTCATGGAGAGCTATGAAGTCAAGTGACCCACCCTTAATCTCCAAGGACAAAACTGCTATGCCACAGATATCTAGATGTCCTTTGTTGATAAGGCCACTTTGTAGTAGTCATTTCTGCTGCTACATTCACCCTGTAAGCACTTTGGGATGCGGCTCTACTCTGTGATAGGTGCTATGCTAAGTCACTTACCCACAACTCGATCAGTCCTTATGAATGCAGGAAGAAATCAGGTGGAGGTAAATGTGTTTAAGGCAATGCCATCAGTAAGGAGCAGCACCTGGATGCTCAGTGCATACTGTCTGGACCAGGCTTGGCCAGCTCTACGAAAGGCCAGAGACTAAGCATCTTGGGCTTTGCAGATCATTTAATGTCTGCCAATACCACTCATATCTGATGTGGTGGGAACAACGTAGGTCTAAGAAAATTTGTGGTTGCAATGATTTCTTCGATTTCAACAACAGGAGGCACCCTCTGGTATGGTCTCCCCATGATTCTTTTAAGCTTTACAAAGCACAGGGACCTTCTGGGAGGCTGGATGTGGATACAATTAATGAACAAGCTTTCCTCAGCATGGTGATGTCCTGATAGGAGATCTACTTTTCAATGGTGAAAGCAGGGCAAGGCCAAGTTCAAGAGAGTGCCGCAGACCCCAGTGCAACAGCACGGGTACTTAAAGAGCATTGTCAGCACTGAGGACGGGATCCCCTCTCCATTTAGTCAAACGCCTGGCTAGGCCATCAGTCCCAGGCCTTTTGCTAGTGAGGTTCCCCTAAAGTAAATACTGCTGGATATTCAAAGTATCACACTAATATCACAATTGTTTTCTATTACCTATAACAGTTCTCATAGTTACAGCTTAAAGGGCCAGAAACATCAAGTGACTCTAAAATATAACTATAGGTAGAAAGGGCCTAAACTAGAATTTGACCCTCAGGATATGTGGTGGTTTGAATGAAAACATCCTTCATAGGCTGGGATCCTCTAACACTTGGTCCCTGGTTGGTGGTGCTATCTAGGGAAGTTTAAGAGGTGTGGCTTGCTGTGGGAAGTAAGTCCCTAGGAGTGGGCTTTGAACTTTACAGTCTTGCCCAAACCTAGTTCTTCCTGCTTTGGCATGCGTTTTAAAGATGAGATCTTTCAGTTTCCCGTCTCTGGCCATCATGCCGGAAGCTTGCTACCACGCTTCCCCATCATGATGGGCTTTTTCCCCTCTGAAATTGTTCTAAGTCCAAGTAAATCCTACCTTCTCTAAGTTCCTTGGTCATGGTCAACAACAGAAAGTAATGAATTCATTACACCTACTTCAGAGATGAGCTCCTAACCAGGGAGAGGTAGAGGTAGGTAACAAAATGAAAGGGAAGGAAACTGGAAATTACAATTGCTGATCAAAAAAATCTAGTGAATTTTTCCTTCTCTGAGCTGGTTATTCTGAAACATCAGAGACCTTGTTGCTTCGGCATAACTGGTAACGTTAGCTAATGTTAATGACGTAAAATGTTTTATGTCATTACAAGTCAGAGAACAGAGAACAGCATACACGTCCTCATGGACCCTGTGACTCCAGGCACTGCACTGGGTTGCCTCTAGCCCCAAGAGGCACATGACTCCAGGAGCTACACTGTGCTGCCTCCCTGCAGACCTCCCAGACTCATGGCTCGGGGACTGTACCACACTGCCTCCTGTCCTAGTGTAACAGCACAAGTCTTTCTTAGCTGTGAGGCTGGCAGAAGGTGGCAACTTACCATCATATTCTGGGAAGTAGTCGACTAGGTGGGAATACATAATTTTCTCCTCTAGAAGATCCTTCTTGTTTAAGAACAGAATCACAGAGGAGTTCTGGAACCAGGGGTATGTTATAATTGTTCTAAAGAGTGCTTTGCTCTCCTCCATTCGGTTCTGGGGAAAAAGGAAATCAGAAACACAGGAGTGAGTTACTGATGACACACTTGGTGACCTGGCTGCTTTCTTGGTCCAATCCATCTTCTGTGTGCTTCTGAGTGTTAAAGCCGAGTTGTCAGGATTTATATGCAGAGCTTCACAACACTTAACACCTGTTTAGATTAGAAGACAACAGTAGTAAGAGTATCTGCTGATTAGGTTTGAAAAGAAAGTAATCAGGGCCTAGATGATGAGGTTGTATCTGACATATTGTAATAAATTTCCACCAAAAACATTCATTCACAAGCAAAACCGTAAGATAAGAGTTAAGCATGGCCGGGCGGTGGTGGCGCACGCCTTTAATCCCAGCACTTGGGAGGCAGAGGCAGGCGGATTTCTGAGTTCGAGGCCAGCCTGGTCTACAGAGTGAGTTCCAGGACAGCCAGGGCTACACAGAGAAACCCTGTCTCGAAAAACCAAAAAAGAGTTAAGCATGAGTTAAGCACAAAGCCAGGCTTCACTCTGTATTTTCTAAACGACATTTATCTGGAGCTTCACTGTGCCTCAAGCATTCAAATCAAAGTTATTCAATTGCTCCTAAGCATATCCAGGAGACGATGATGACGACAACGGATGTGCACATATACACATTCCTGAGTCAGCTGGTACCCGAGTCTCCACTGAATGCACACCTGCACAACTACGGATAAAACAAACTAACAACCTGGAGATAAAAATCTAGCTTTTGTTCGTTTTAAAGACGTGGTCTCACTGTGTCGCTCTGGCTAGCCTGGAAGTTACTAAATGGACTCTATTGGCCTTGACCTCGCAGAACTCTACCTGCGTCTGCCTCCCTAGTGTTGGATTTAAAGGTGTGCATCATTCTGCCTGGCAAACAATATAGTATTTATTCCTCAGCACTTGTAAGTGTGCTTCCCTGGGGCAAGACTTTGAAGCCTAGCTTGGTGACAGAAGCCCTGGTGGTTTCTGGAGAAATTCAGCTATCATGTTTCCGTACATGAAGACGCTAATAGAGGGCACATTTGAGTCAAGTTGCTCCTCATACTCATCAGCAAATGAGCACAGAGCCTTGCAGCTTCTTCCTCAGCCATCTGCTGCTTCTATAGCAGTGTGCACGCGCGTGCTATGGCACAGTACATATATAGAGGTCAGAGGACAACTGTCTTTACACTGAGTGGTGGAAAGGCTTGGAGGCACACTTTATCTTCTGAGCCATTTCACTAGCCCCCCCCCCAATAAATAATTAATTATTTAATTAAGGAATTTTTTCCCTTTTTGTTTCCTTTTGGTTTTGTTGGAGAAAGGGTCTATTATGTTGGCCTGAAACAAGTAGGCCAGGCTGGTCTTGAACTCTCAGAGATCTACTTGCTTCTACCTCCCTGTTGCTGGGATTAAATGACTGCACCATCATACCCAGGCAAATCACACAATTTCAGATAAACATTACTTCATGCTCCAGCACCAGTGTTCATTTCAGCACACACATTTATCTTTCACATAAATGACATGCGTGCCCTTAAATGCATTTTATTGTCTACATGCCTTTGACAGATTAACACAGCCATGGTAAATTTTATTCTGTTACTTTTTTGAGACAGTATTGCTGCTGTGAAGTACAGGTTGGCCTCAAACTCAGAATCATCCTGCTTCAGCTTCCTGAGGGCTGGGATTATAACCATGTGCCATTGTGAGTAGCTTAAATTTTAATACCTGAGGTTTATATTCTCTGAGACACGGGACTTTACTGAAACTTTAGATTTTATAGATTGAAAATTTCAAGATTGGGGATGACAGGAGCCATTTAAGAGAGGCTAAAATCTAGAGGTGATCTTCTTGAGAGGATTCTACCATGGACTATAAAACTCCGATGGGGGAGCCCTTCTAGGTAAGGCTAAAGGACTACACTTGAGGGAAGGTTCCTGCCATTATGCTTTTCCTGATATTATATAACAATCACTAGGTATTAACTGCCCTTTAGGGCAGATTTCTGCAGATCCATGAAGTACTGTTTTATAGTGATGCTACATAGACAACAGAGGATTCCTTAATTCTTAATGATGATCCTATAAGAATTCCTAAAGTTGAACTAGTAATAATTAAGCCCTTTACAATAGGACTGCTATTAAACTTCTCTCTGATATGAATACTGCAATTAGAACTTGGCCAGTCTCCACGTGTCACAAATTAAGTGTTTATAAGATAGAAAACAGGTATTTACAACTTAGAACACATTCCAAGAGGTTGTAAAACAACCAAAGGTCATAAAGGAAAGTCATGATTTATTGTAGGTGCAAGGACAGAAGATAAAATATTGACTGGATATATCTACACAAAACTTCAATGATAACTTAGTCACAGAAATTATGGATTTTTTTTAACTCTCCATGAACCTCTGAAGCTGGTGAAGATAATGAATGTCTAGTCTTAATGGGAACATATGTAAACATCTCTGTTGTAAACTTCTCATTCAGTTTATGATTTTAATTTATGTTTGAACTTTTAGTGAACTTTCGTAAAAAACAAAACAAAACAAAACAAAACAAAAGATACTTGGAAAAATCATGTGATCCATCCCTCTAGAAAAGGTACAGAGACCCAGGAACAATTACATTGCATGGCATTATAGCATCAGAGCAGGAGGAGAGAGCAACACTAGAAGGAGAAGGGGAGCAGAGAAGAGTAACTTAGAAATCAAGAAAGCAATCTAGAAATTTAGAGAGCACAGAGTCTGATAGGTTTACACCTCCCCCCTTTTACTTCCCCTTAGAAATAAAGAGGACATTAGGGCAAGAGCAGAAGAAGACAGCAATATGTAGAATGCAGAGAGAAAGAGAAACAGAAAGAGTTGCAGAGAGAACAAAAGAACAGGCAGGCTTCTCTTTACCATGGGACTGAACAGGTCTTTTCTTAACAGCAAGCCCGGCTTAGGTCTTACTAAACAGGACAAACCTTTTTTTTTTTTTTTTTTTTTTTTTTAATAGACTTGGGTTTAATTCATTTAGCAATAAAAGGGTAGATATTTTTCTTTCTCTACACAAAGATTGGAGCTCATTTTTTATCCAGAAGGAGTGAGTACTTTCTGCACTGGCACCTGGGCTTTTGCCTCATATGCATATGCAAGTATTGATGTATGTGTGTACGTATGTAAGTTGAGCCTAACAAGCATGAATGTGTATATATGAATGTATGTGAGTGTATTCATATTTGCTTGTATAAAGGTTTTTCCTTCTGTAAGCCTGACTCTCTTCTCCTGGTTCAATAAAAGTTTATTACTCTAACCCTCCAGTCCTGCCTGACCAGTGAGAGGTGAGGCTTCTGGACAAGAGAAAAAAACAGCCCTAGCAATTAACCTGTTACTCAATTCCCTGCTATTAGGCTACAGGTGTTACTCACCTGAGCCAACAGTTTGTAACCTCAGAGTAAGCAAGAAAGTTTTTAGGATTTTGTAGAAGCGTCAGCAAGCATTCAGTATAGTTAGAGAGGTAGAAGGCCAGAGACCATCCATCAGTCTTTAAAAGTATGCCTGGAGGCCATCAGTCTTTAAAGCTACTTGTACATCCAATGCTGTGTCTAGCTTCAAACCATTCTAGGCCAGGCAGGCTCCCAGCAAGGAGAAAATTGGTCCCAAGCACTGAAAGGTCAGAGAAGAGGGTGCAGTGGGCTGAGGAGGGAGCAGTGGCCCTAGGTGAGAGATTACCTGTAGGAAAGTTCTAAAAAGCTAGACTGTGGCTTTTTAAAGGAGCCCTGTCTAAAAAGTGGATATAGTCCTTTGTGTGGGTTAAGCTCATTTGCTAAAGACTCACTCTCTCCTTCCAGTTTTCCAGAAGGGGCTGCTACGCTCCTAGGGAAGAGCTTGTACTGGGTCTTTTCTGGTTTGCATCCCATCAAGGCAAGCAGAGGGAGTACAAGGTGCCTTCTGCTTCTAAGGTTAAATTCAAGTGTGAACTGAGCCCCAAGTTTCAGTGGGATCTGGGAGAAAGTCTCACACCAAGCCTATAGGAGGGCTGCCAGGACAATCTCTCCAGCCCAGCACTGGGTGCCTGAAATGACTTGCTTAAAGCTGTCACTCTACCCAGGTCTACTGCTATTAGGACACTTTGATGGCAGAGTCTGCTCAAGAATCTGTTGTGCTGAAGCTCTATCATTGGTGGGGTGCTGTTTGTGATTCAGGGGTGCTGATTCAGGTTTGAACAGAAGAAGGAGCTCTATCCCAGTTTACCTTTACAAAAAGAGCTGTAACATACCTCAGATCCCAACAATGCTAACTCTATCCTTTCTCTCTTTTCCAAGAGATAAGGGGCTTCAAGATTTTATTCCTCAAGAAAAATCTCTATACACCTGATCCCCAGGAGTAAAGTATTTACAAAGCAATGTGCTTTGTACTGAGGCAGAAGTAAATCTTAAGTGCACTGCCTATGGTTTTTACAAGCCTCGCTCACAAGGTAGCACAAGTGCAAACATGGCAAATAATTGACTCTGCTTAGAAACCCAACCTTGGAGGGAACAGCATGTCCGAGGAGGCATGTAGCTCTTCCTTTTTGAAGTTTGTAAGGACAGAAAGGTCCACGGAGAAATAGTGTGAGCAATGATGAAAGCATCGAGTGTCTGCTCACTCTGAAGACAACACAGGCTGGGTGGGGGTGGCACACTCTCACAGCCTCTTCTTAGGTTTTTAATAGAAAATGCCCAAGAGGATCAAAGAGGATCCAGTGCAGGCTTCCCTGTGGCGGACAGTATTCAGCATTAACTAGCTGAAGTGGCCTCCTCCTAGCCCCAAGGAGCCTTTCTATTGCTTCTCACTCAGCTAGTACTTCTGAACCCAGCCGAGCAGCTTTGAATGCTGGAATGGGGCAGAAGAGATAGAAGCCACCTGCTAGGGTGGGGTGTGCCTGGTCTTTCTTCCTTTTGGGGCCGCAGAGAAAGACCATGTGCTTGGCCATAGGTGTCTAGACTCTATGAAGCCACCATGCAGACCTGAAAAAAGAAAGTCCCCAGCA